GCCTAAGTCAACAGATGGACATCCCCCAAGGGGTCCTGGACTGCAAATGGGCACAGGCCGGCTGAGGGAACCCCCCCCAGAATGCACAAATTTTTGTGCACTGGGCCTCTAGTGTTTTCATATTTGACAACTCATTTTCTTGCATGTCAACCTCTTACAGTTCCCAGCATTTGTTCATACTGTTTGCTCAGGAATGACTTTTCTCTTTACTTTGTGGCTATGAAATCCTACATACCCTACATGGTTTTAACTCCAATGCTGACTCCTTATACTAAATCCTCTCCTGATCCCATCTTATACCACCAAAAGTAACATATCATTTCTCTTTAACCAGCACACTATTTAAACATCTAGTGTCATCCTATATAATAAAAGACTAATATGCAAATTGTCCGCTCAACTGGGAGTTTGACCGGGGGTGGGGCCAGCCTGCCAACCACCCGCGACCCCTCCCCGAAGCCCGCCCCACCCTGATCAGGGTGGGGACAGCTGGCCAACTGCATGTGGCCACTCTCCCCAGCCAGCCTGCCAACCTCCCACATCCCCTCCCCCCGGCTGGCCCAGGCCAATCAGCCTCAATCAGGGCAAGCTGGCTGGACCCCACTGGTGCATGAATTTGTGCACCGGGCCTCTAGTTAATTATAAAATGAAGCAGAATGAAATATTTAGTCTACTTACCCACTAGATACTAATATCATCGAGAGCAGGGATTGTGTCCTATGATTCTTTCTATATTATTAGATCGAATTGGTGTGGCCCAGTGGTTGAGCATAAAGCTATGAACCAGAGGTTACGGTTCAATTCCTGGTCAGGGCACATGTCTAGCTTATGAGCTCAATTCCCGGTGGGGGCATTCAGGAAGCAGCCAATCAATGATTCTCTCTCATCACTGATGTTTCTCTCTCTCTCTCCCTCTCCCTTCCTTTCTGAAATAAATAAAAATATGTTCAATAAATAAATAAGTAAATAAATAAGTAAATAAATAAGTAAATAAATAGTGTCCTGGTCCTCGCTAGTTTGGCTCAGTGGATAGAGTGTCAGCCTGTGGATTGAAGGGTCGATTCTGATTTGTTTCTGGTCAGGGGCATATAATTCGGGTTCGATTCTGGTCAGGGGCATAATTTTTTTTTTTAATGTCTTGGACAAGTATTAGCAATCAAACTCTCCCTGGTCAGTGTGGCTCAGTTGGTTGGGCATCATCCTGTGCACATAAAGGTTGCTGGTTCAATTCCTAGTCAGGACACATGCCCAGGTTGTGGGCTTGTTCCCCAGTAAAGGGTGTGTAGGTGATTAATGTTTCTCTCTCTCTCCCTCTCCCTTCCTTGGTCTCTACAAATCCATAAAAATCTTAAAAAACACAAAAAAACAAACTCATTAAAAATACACACACACACACACACACACACACACACACACACACAATATATATATAGTGCCAATTTTGTGTCATTTCTGGATTTATTAATCCAAGTGTCTTATTTCATGTTTTAAGTCAACATTACTCATTTTTTATTATTACGTATCACAATTATTTTAAAACTAGAGGCCCGGTGCACAAAATTCATGCACAGTAGGGTCCCTAGGCCTGGCTAGCAATCAGGGCCAATCTGTGGGGCAACTGGCGGGGTGATTGGGGCAACCAGTTGCACCCGCCTTGGTCTGACACCGCCCACTCACTAGCCTTGTCCCCCCTCCCCCCCACCACCACTGACACCACCGGTTGGGGCCTGCGGGCTGGGGCAGCGCCTGCATTGAGTGTCTGCTCCCTGGTGGTCAGTGCACATCATAGCGACTGGTCGTTCTGCCCGTTCGGTCTATTTGCATATTAGGGTTTTATATAGATAGATCTGCTATGGCAAGCCTGTGCCCCAGTGTTGTTGTTTTAATTTGGTTTTGTTTTTTTTGGTTTTTTTAAAAATATATTTTATTGATTTTTTACAGAGAGGAAGGGAGAGGGATAGAGAGTTTGAAACATCGATGAGAGAGAAACATCGATCAGCTGCCTCTTGCACAACCCCCCAGTGGGGATGTGCCCGCAACCAAGGTACATGCCCTTGACTGGAATCGAACCCGGGACCCTTCAGTCCGTAGGCCGACGCTCTATCCACTGAGCCAAACCGGTCAGGGCTTAATTTGTTTTTGTGGTACGAAAGAGGCCACATGCTAACCTGACAAGCTCAGGGAAGGCTTGCATGGCTGTCTTGCAAACTCAAAGACTTAAAGTAACCACAAAGGATGGTCTGAAAATTAAACTTTAACTAAAAGCAGTTATGGTGGGTAGTCACCTCCTAGGCCGGTATCTTCCCTGACAAAGTCAACCTTTACCTTTACTGAGCTTATTGTCTTTTTTCATTTATGATAACATATCATTGAAATGTCAGGGTAACTTGTAACTTCCCTTTTTTCCAGACCCCTCAGGACACAACCAAATGTCCTGGGTGAAAGGACAGATACCACAAATTCATTGGTATTGTTATCATATTAATTGTTGACTGTTAACTATCCTGTACCCACCTAAGTAATGTGTCTATCATTTTACTGTCTATCTAATCCCAGGTGTTTCCCTGCTTTGCTTTCTCCTGCCTCTCTAATTTATCACTAATGGATTTCATGTAACCCACCTACATCTCCTACTTTGATTGAAATGTATAAATTAAGATGAAAAACCACCATTCTCTGGAGCATTATCCCAATCCCTTGAGATTCTGCTTCCAGGCAATTGTTGACAGTTTGGCTCAAATAAATTCACAAAAATTCTTTACATGTTTGAATGTTTTTATGGTAACATAGTACTGAAAGTCAAAAATTTTTGTGAATTTCCTTTGGAACTCAATTTCTGAAACACAAATTATGGCTTGGTCCATTCCAGCAATTATAACAAAATACCAGAGACTGGGTAGCTTATTAACAACAGAAATGTATTGTTCACAGTTCTGGAGGCTGGGAAGTCCAAAACAAAGGCACCAACATGGTCATATTTAGGTAAAGATCCTCCTCCTAATATGCTGTCCGGTCGTCCGTTCAACCAATCAAAGCATAATGTGCTAATGATATGCTAAGGCCATACCTTATGCCTTCTTGCTGTGTCCTCACATGGTGTGAGCGGCTACGGATATCTGTGGAGTCTCTTTTATAAAGCCACTAATCATTGTTATTAGAACTCTATTTTTGTGACATAAGCACTTCCCAAAGGCCTCTCTTAATAACATTGTCTCTGGGAGGTAGGATTTACCATATGAATTGAGGGAGGGGAAAAACATCCAGATCATAGCACATTATATTAAACTAGAGGCCCGGTGCACAAATTTGTGCACCAGTGGGGTCCCTTGGCCTGGTCTACGGGATTGGGCTGAAACTGGCTCTCTGACATCCCCAAAGTGGTCCCGGATGGTGAGTGGGCGCAGGCCAGGCCAAGGGACCCCACCAGTGCATGATCGGGGCCAGGAAGAGCCATGGGAGGTTGGCCAGCCAGGAAGGGACCGTGGGAGGGCTACAGGGCATGTCCAGCCGGCTTGTTCGGTCCCAATTGGCTGGACCCCAGCAGCAAGCTATCCTACTGGTCAGAGTGTCTGCCCGTTGGTGATCAGTGCACATCATAGCGACTGGTCAACTAGTCCACTATCTGCCCCCTGGTGTTCAGTGCATGTCATAGCGAGTGGTTGAGTGGTCTTAGCATATCATTAGCACATTACGCTTTGATTGGTTGAACGGACGACCGGACAGCATATTAGGCTTTTATTATAAAGGATTTCTTAGCCAGTTTCTTCAAATATCCTTAATTTATGCAGAGCAACCATGAATTAATAGTTTTCTCCATTTTTAAAATTTTTTTCATGGTTCATTACAGATGGTCTGCACATCCAATACTAAATTGCACAGAAGTGGTGACAGGAAGCACCTAACTCCCTCCTGTTTTATTTCTCTATTTCATTGATTTTATCAGTAATAAATTTTATTTTTTATCAAATGTATGTTCGTACATGGTAATTTTATTAGGGGCTAATAAATGACTTTTTAAACAGTTACCATCCAATTTACTGTAACTTTGAGAACCATAACTATAAGGAAGAAAATAACTAATAAGACAGAGTTAGAGAATTGGGTTTCTTTTTCTTAAATTTCAAATAATTAGGAGGAAATAAATAGAACATACTACAGAGAAAGTAGCCAAATTATATTACTGCCATTTCCCACTTACAGAAACGAGTTACATAATTTAACAAACAGGAAAGATAGATGGTGTATTTATTGTTTGGCTACATTGGTATGACTTATTTTAACAAAAGTTCTCATATTTAATAATCCAAAATAGTAACTTATTAGCTGTATATCAAAAGTATATTAAAAATGGCCAACTTTGATTGAAACACTTTTCAATTAATTCATTTCCTTATTCACTATTATACATTAAATACTATGCTAGGTGCAGGGAGATACATTGTTAAAAGGCTCTTTAGTTTTTCCTCAGAAAATTTATAAACTAGTACAGGAATTAACCAACTTTTTCTGTAAAGGACCACATAATAATAACATAGGTTTTAGAGAACTATTTAGTCTCTATTTTCGTGAGGCAAAAATAGTCATAGACAATAGGTAACAAATAAGCATGGATGTGTTTAAATAAAACTTTATTTACAAAACCGGTGGTGGGTCAGATTTGGCCCATGGGTTATAGTTTGCCAACATGTGCTCTAGTGGAAATTAACTAGCAATTCCAATACTACATGGTAAATGCAGTGATAATGAACAAAGGTTGTTATGGAACATGATCTAAGAGAATCAACATAGGCTTTTGAGAGGGGGCAACAATCTAACTGATGCCCCTATTGTCTCAAATTCAGGAAACAAAAGTAATTTTTATAATGTGCTACCATTATAAAACAATTTAAAATCTCATTCTGAAAATGTAAACCATATTTGACTAAGAATTGCTTCATTATACAGTATTCTCTTCTAGTTGTTTATGAAAAATTATACCATAAATATATCTGAAAGCTTACCTTGAGTGACTGTTTTGAGAACAATTAAAGTTGACAAAAATCTCAATGGCAAATTGGAACTCCTAAAGAAAGCAGCTGTCTTTGGTTTATTCTCCATAGAATGTTCCAAAGAATTATCCTGAATTCCCTTTACTACTCCTTTGAATATGTCTTCACCCAATCTCCTCAATGTTGATGTCATAGTTGAATGCTGTTAAAAAATATGTATTAAATTAGCATAGTTATTAATGTTCAGAAAATATAATTTTAAACATTATAAACATACTAGTGGCCCAGTGCATAAAAATACATGCTCTTGGGGCGGGGGGGGGGGGGGGGGGCGGGGGGAAGGGTCCCTCAGCCCGGGCTGCACCCCCTCGCAGTCCGGGAGCCCTCAGAAGATGTTCGACTGACGGCTTGGTCCTGCTCCCCGCGGGAAGTGAGACTTAACAGCAGTCTGGCCTCCCTCTGTGGGAGGCGACCGGCGGGCTGATCAGGTACTGGCAATCAGCGGGCCCTGCCCTCCATTGCCCTACCACTGCCACCACCAGTGGCCTCTTTCTGGGGGAGGCCACCAGGCGAGCCCATCAGTGGACGACGCTGGCTGGTGAGTGGCTGGCCCCACCCTGCCCCGCCAATCACCCTGTCACCACCACTGGTCGCTGCCACCCCCTAACCCCCCAATCAATGTCCCCTCTCTCTGCCCGCTGGCACGCAACTTGGCTGGCCTGGTACTGCCTGTTTGCAGGCCCTGCCCCCCCGCCAACTGGTCAATCTGACGTTCGGTCAATTTACATATTATGCTTTTATAGGATGAACTAAAGATAAGTCATTCTTTTAGTTTTTTCTTTATTGACTAGGTTATTACATATGTGTCCTTATCCTCCCATTACCGCCCCCAATCCTGCTCATGCCCTCACCCCCAATTGCCGGAAGCCGGTCCATCCTTGCTGCTTGACACAGTCGCTGCAGGGAAGAAACATCTGCACAGCATATGTTTCAAGGGACCTGGCATATATGGCATACTGTTCTTAATATGTTTGCTCCCCTACTTAGCGCTATGTTTTTCAACGAAGGTCACCTCTCTGAGAAAGGTTGTTTCCCCAGGTGGGGATTTTTTCCCTAGAGTTAGGGGTTAACAGGACTAAGGAAGAGAATAAATCAGTAAAATCCCTTAAATAAGTGCCAGGCGGGTAGTTAATCACTTTAACTACGAACAATCAAGTTTAAGCTACATAATCTTTACTTAGGACAATCTCCTTCAGTTACTTCCTTGTAGCTTAACAGAACAATAGAGTAGTGACCTTGGAATGAAGATAACAAATGCCCTAACCTTTGGAATAGAATGGATAGGATTAAAATCAACTGATATAAATACAGATGTAACAGGAGAATAAAGACAGAACCTGGCTGGAGAACGTGACTAGAGAACTGGCCATGCCGATCATCTGAATGCTGCTGCCTCCGTGTCATTCCTGCTTCCCTGACTCCGTCCACACCTTTGGGAACCCCTGGACCTGCTGGGGCTGGGCCCCAACACCCAATAGTGTCTGTGTCCATTAGTTACGCTTATATGCATGCACACAAGTCCTTTGGTTGATCTCTCCCCCTTCTGCCCACCCTCCTCTGCCTTCCCTCCAGGTTTGATGGTCTGATCAATGCTTCTCTCTGGATCTGCTTTTCTTCATTAGCTTATGTTGTTCATTATATTCCACAAATGAGTACAATCATGTGATATTTATCTTCCTCTGACTTATTTCACTTAGCATAATGCTCTCCAGGTCTATCCATGCTGTTGCAAATGGTAGGCGTTCCTTACTAATTACAGCAGTGTAGTATCCCATTGTGTAGATGTACCAGTTTTTAATCCACTCATCTGCTGATGGGCACTTAGCTATTTCCAAATCTTACCTATTGTAAATCGTGCTATGAACATAGGGGTGCATATATCCTTTCTGATTGGTGTTATTAGTTCCTTGGGATATATTCCTAGAAGTGGATCACTGGGGCAAATGGGGGTTCCATTTTTAACTTTTTGAGGAAACTTCATACTGTTATCCACAGTGGCTGCACTAGTCTGCATTCCCACCAGCAGTGCACGAGGGTTCCTTTTTCTATGCATCCTCGCCAGCACTTGTCATTTGTTGATGATAGGCATTCTGACAGGTGGGAGATAGTACCTCATTGTTGTTTTGATTTGCATATCTCGGATGATTAGTGACTTTGAGCATGTTTTCATATGTCTCTTGGCTTTCTGAATGTCCTCTTTCGAAAAGTATCTATTTAGGTCCATTGCCCATTTTTTGATTGGGTTGTTTATCTTCCTTTTGTTAAGTTGTATGAGTTTCCTGTAAATGTTGGAGATTAAACCCATATTGGTGATAACATTGGCAAATATGTTCTCCCATTCAGTGGGTTTTCTTGTTGTTTTGTTGATGGTTTCTTTTGCTGTGTAGCTTTGTATTTTGATGTAGTCTCATTTGTTTATTTTCTCTTTAGTTTCCATTGTCCTAGGAGCTGTATCGGTGAAGATGCTGCTACAACATATGTCTGCGATTTTGCTGTCTATGGATTACTCTTTAAGACTTTTATGGTTTCCCGTCTTATGTTTAAGTCCTTATCCATTTTGAGTTTATTTTTGTGTATGGTGTAAGTTGGTGGTCTAGTTTCATTTTTTTGCATGTATCTGTCCAACTTTCCCAACACCATTTATTGAAGAGACTGTCTTGACTCCATTGTATGCTCTTGCCTCCTTTGTCAAATATTAATTGAGCACACTGGTTTGGGTTGATTTATGGGTTCTCTATGCTATTCCATTGGTCTATATGTCTGTTATTGTGCCAGTACCAGGCAGTTTTGAGAACAGTGGCTTTGTAATACAGCTTGATATCTGGTATTGAGATCCCTCCTACTTTGTTCTTCTCAGGATTGCTGCCATTCGGGGTCTTTTTTTATTCCAGATGAATTTTTGGAGAGTTCATTCTAGGTCTGTGAAATATGTCACTGGTATTTTAATGGGGAGTGCATTGAATGTATAGACTGCTTTGGGTAATGAGTACATTTTAAAGATGTTGATTCTACCATTCCATGAACATGGTATGTTCTTCCATCTGTTTACATATTCCTCGATCTCTTTTTTCAGTGTCCTGTAGTATTTCAAGTACAGGTCTCTTACCTCCTCAGTTTATTCCTAGATCTTAATTTTTTTGGTGCAATGGTAAATGGGATTGTTGCTTTAATCTCTCTTTCTGTAAGTTCACTATTGGTGTATAAAAATGCCATAGATTTCTGGGCATTAATTTTGTATCCTGCTACATTGCCAAATTCCTTTGTTAAGCCTAATAATTTTTTGATGGAGTCTTTAGGGTTTTTTATGTACAGTATCATGTCATCTGTGAATAATGACAGTTTTACTTCTTTTCTAATTTGGATACCTTTTATTTCTTCTTCTTGTCTAATCACTATGGCTAGCACTTCCAGTACTATGTTGGACAGGAGTGATGAAAGTGGGCATCCTTGTCTTGTTACTGTTCTTAGCAGATTGCGGACGGATCACGAGAATTCTCACTTCATATTACACAGTGTTTTACAAAGTATCATACTTTAAAAAGATATTAGCTTATAAGAATATGTAATAACTCCAAAATGCAATGGGTATTTAATTTTAAAGCGTGCCTTTAACATTTATGTAGAACGTTTTTTGTACTCGTTCATGAGAAACTTATCTGGCCACTGAGTAAAGCTAGCAATAAAACTACTGGTCTACAATGTGTTAAGTGAAATGGTTTTAGTTTTTGCCCACTGAGTATGATGTTGGCTGTAGGTTTGTCATATAAGGCTTTTATTATGTTGAGGTATGATTTCCTCTATTCACCCTTTGTACAGGGTTTTTATCAAGAAAGCGTATTGGGCCGAAACCGGTTTGGCTCGGTGGATAGAGCGTCAGCCTGCGGACTGAAAGGTCCCAGGTTCGATTCCGGTCAAGGGCATGTACCTGGGTTGCGGGCACATCTCCGGTGGGAGATGTGCAGGAGGCGGCTGATCGATGTTTCTCTCTCATCGATGTTTCTAGCTCTCTATCTCTCTCCCTTCCTCTCTGTGAAAAATCAATAAAATATATTTAAAAAAAAAAAAAAAAAAAAAGAAAGCGTATTGGATTTTTTCAAATGTTTTTTCTGCACCAATTGATATGACTATGTGATTTGTATCTCTCAGTTTGTTTATGTGATGTATCACGTTTATTGATTTGTGGATATTGTACCATCCTTGCATGTCCGGGATAAATCCTACTTAGTCATGGTGTATGAGATTTCTGATGTAATGCTGGATCCAATTTGCTAGAATTTTGTTGAGGATTTTGGCATCTATGTTCATGAGGGATATTGGCCTGTAATTCTTTTGTGTGTGTGTGTGTGTGCTGACTTTATCTGGTTTTGGTATGAGGGTAATGCTGGCTTCATAGAATGAGCTTGAAGTGTTCCTTCCTCTTGAATTTTTTGCAATAGTCTGAGGAGGATAGGTTTAGTTCTTCTTTGAATGTTTGGTAAAACTCCCCTGTGAAGCCGTCTGGCCCTGGGCTTTTGTTTGGTGGAAGCTTTTTGATGACTGCTTCAATTTTCTTCATAGCAGTAGTCACCAACTTGTGGTCCATGAACCACTGGTGATCTGTCAGGTCCGAAAGGTTGGCAACCACTGCTCAATAGTTATCGGCCTATTGAGATTTTTAGATTCTTCCTGATTGAGTTTTGGAAGGTTGTACATTTCTAGGAATATGTCCATTTCCTCTAGGTTGCCTAGTTTGTTGGAATAGAATTCACAGTATTTTTTTATAATCCTTTATATTTCTGTGGGGTCTGTTGTTATTTCATCTCTTTCATTTCTGATTTTGTTTATTTGGGTCCTCTCTCTCTGCTTCTTGGTGATCCTGACTAGAGGTTTATCAATCTTTTTTTTTTTTTTATAATGAAGTTTTTTTTTTAATTAAATCTTTATTGTTCAGATTATTACATTTGTTCCTCTTTTCCCCCCCCCCATAACTCCCCTCCTCCCAGTTCCCGCCCCACCCTCCGCCCTCACTCCCCACCCACTGTCCTCATCCATAGGTGCACGATTTTTGTCCAGTCTCTTCCCGCATCTCCCACACCCCTTTCCCCCCCCAGGAATAGTCAGTCCATTCCCTTTCTATGTCCCTGATTCTATTATAATCAACAG